AGCAGCTTATAGTAGTCGACCGATGTACAGAGAGACGGCTATGCAATGTAAATTAGATTTTAGCTTGGTCTGTTGCAGTCGCCACCGACCAACGCGGGGGAAAAGCAGTTTGCGCTGCTGCTTCAATTCGGTCGGTTGAGTTCAAAACTTCTTGTAAGCCGTATGCTGTGGAAGGTACGAGTCGACCGCAGAACCTCATCGGCTTTTTGTGGCTCTGTTGCCTGCAGTCGTACTCCTCCTTGCTTACAAAGCTTCGGACAGTCGACAGACAAGCAGGACGAGGCAGAAATGCGCGGAACTCTTGGAAGCCGTCGGTCCTCGGATGGCTATAGTCGCCGGGCTCACTGCCGACTGGGGATCCGAGACTCGTCGTTTAGTCGGCACCTTCGACAAGCAGCTTCACGATCCAGCGAAAACCTGGAGCGAGATTGAGGACTTTCGCCAGAGGAGTCGTATCTGGGCTGAGCGTCAGTCGGTTTCAGTTTTTTTTCTCATGTCAAGGTTGATTAGATATGGGGTTCCGAAATTAAGGTTTCAGAAAACCAGGACTGCTTTTCGGGGAGGCGCACATCTTGGGCGAGGCCGAGAGTGGTTCCAAGACAATGGTGCAAGTCGCGACAGAGAATGTCATGAAGATGCCCACCCTTCGCTATGGCATGGCACCGAGGATGCGCGAGAAGGTCTTCTGGCACACGAAGGCGAAGGAGGAGGCGGTTACCGTCATGGAAGAGATGTCGCTGTGCTGGCAGTTGGCCGACAAGCGGTTGAGGGCGGAGTTCGACCCGCAGTCGTTGCCCGCAGCTCAGTGAGTCGTCAGGGTTGTAGGTTACCTAATTTCCGGGATCCTTTGAAGTCCGTGACAGTGACATTGTGCCTTGAAGTCCGCTTAGAGACGGAGCGGAGATGTCGAGTCGGTTCATAAATTTAATATAGTCGTCGACATCCTCGTCATACGTCGAATTCTTCATCCTGTCGAACCAAGACGATAACTCAACCTCCCAATGATCCCGAAACAAATGTAATTCGGGCGCTATTGTTGCCCAAGATGCCCAATGCCAAGGCTTCTGGCCTTTCGATGCTTCGACCTGCCGACGTGGCTGAAGACTCTTCCGCAGACAGAGTCGGCCGAGCACTTGACGAACTCGCTGCGACATTGTACCCGCCGGGTGTGCAGCGCCTACGAA